CTGAAACACATAATGATCACAATGAGGGACTTGAGTGGTCAGGAAAGATGCTATGTTTTGGTTAAAATAGCGGGGGGGGGGGGGGGCACCTTTTAAAGATCTATCCATTTAAAAAGTTGCAATTTTAAAATTACAAAGCTTAGTACTGCATCCCAGGTATTAAGGAAAGCATTATACCTTAGGGTTCAGGGTAGTGAAAATTCACAATACTTAAATAACAAACATCCCAAAGTGAGTGGCCCAAATGTTCTTTAAAATATGTGTGTCTAAAACAGGAAGGAAAGTATTCCCACCTACCCACTCCCTCCCCAGTCTTCATAACAGGCACTCAGAGCAGCTTCCCTGGACTTGAACTCACTCTGTCTTTATCATCTGCTACATCACAGAGGATGTCATCAAGATCCAGTATTCCTCCATCTCCATGTTCCAGTCGATGCACCTGTATCCAGTAGCTTGGATCCTGTACAAATAACACAAATATCAAATGCATCAAGTTAGCATCACAAAAAGGAAATGCAAGAATTTTAACTGCAAGAACTTCCTGTTATAAAAAAAAAACATATTCTAATAAACAAGCAACATATAGTGTATGTCTGAAACACTAATGTCACAGCATATTTGAATAAAAAGAGGTGGCATACCCTGGTTGCCCAAAGTACTTCCTAATAACAGGCCTGAATACACTGGAATAATATGGAAGACTATAAGTGAGCAAGCTCAGACCAATGTGTGTGGTTTGTGCCTATTTTTGGAAGGGAAAAATTACATACACTTGTATATGTGCATATAAAAATGACCAACAAAAGTCTTGGCCAGTGTGGTTGGAGCACTCGTTGGTTGGAGCATTGTCCTGTACACTGAAAGACTGAGGTTTTGATTCTCGGTCAGGGCACATACCTAGGTTATGGGTTCGGGGAGCATAACCAATAGATGTTTCTCTTTCAAATCAATGTTTCTTCCTCTCCCTGTCCCTGTCTCTCCCTCCCTCTTCCCCTCTCCCTAAAATCAATAAACATATCCTCATGTGAGGATTAAAAAAATGTCCAAAAAAAAAAAAAATACACACCCAAATTTCCAGTGGTTATCTCTGAAAAGTGGAATTGGAAGTAAAAAATTTCATTTTAAATCTTATACACTTCTACACAGGATATGTATAGTGTGTATACATATATACATACATATACTGTAACATAAAACATGTTTTGAAATTATTTACAGAACATAATTCTTTGGTTTTGGGGTTTGTATATTTTTTAATCCTCACCCGGGGATATGTTTATTGACTAGAGAGAGAGGACGGGGAGGAGATAAAGAGGTAGGGAGGGAGGGAAAGAAAAAGAGAAACATCAATGTGAAAGAGAAGCATCAACAGGTTGCCTCCCACACGCACCCCAATCAGGGATAGAACCCACAACCTAGGTATGTGCCCTGACAGGGACTTGAACCTGCAACTTTTTTGGTGTATGGGACAATGCTCCAACCAACTGAGCTCCCCCAAGCCAGGGCATAGTTATTTGTTTTTAGAGTTCCACAATCATTCTCATTTGTATACTCAAATAAAAATGTACTAAATTGTTATCTTTTGCCTTTAACTACTGAATTATCCACAACACGGAATTACTAATAAAAAGTTCAATTCAAGTTAACAGTCCATTTTTCCAATTTAAAATGATGTTAAGTACTATTCTTTCTTAAAGGAAAGGCTGGGAGGGAAAAGGCAAAAGATTAATCATAGTTATATACACATTCCTAGACCCCACCCCAGATCTCCTTGCTCAGACAGACCTTCCAGGGTTGAGGCCAGGGAATCCATATCCTTAAGAAGCATTCCAAGAGAATCTCTAACAAAGCTATGCCTAAGAGTTAGTAAAATGGAACAGTTGTAAAAACTGTATAATTACCAATCCTCTTCATTTTTTAACCAGTACAGAAAGCAGCTCAGACCCTAATTCTCAAAGTTACTAAACATAAAAACCACCATGCAAATAACCTATACTTACTCTGCTCCCTGATCTGGACTTCCTTAAAAGGAGATTCAGTGCTCAAATCAACTGTTCATCCAAAACACAGATTAAGTTTATAAAACACACATGCAACACACCACATGCCACACATACACACACATACCTTGGCATCCCCTGAATTCACGGAGCCTCTACATGATCCCCTGATTCCAATGTCATCCAGACAGCCCTTAGGAAACCTGCTGTGTGAGTCTGAGATGCTCCAGAATTTGTCATTTCTAGATTCGTTGAACCATCAAAGAACAAAGGCCCAAACGAACTATACTCTACTCTTCTATACCAAACTAGAGGCCCGGTGCACAAAATTCATGCACTGGGGGTAGGGGTTGTCCCTCAGCCCAGCCTGTACCCTCTCCAATCTGGGACCCCTCAGGGGACATCCCTCTCACAATCTAGTACTGCTGGCTCCTTACCATTCGCCTACCTGGCTGCCTGATTGCACTAACCACTCTGCCTGCCAGCCTGACAGCCCCCTAACCGCACCCCTGCTGGCCTGATTGACACCTAACTGCTCCCCTGCCAGCACGATCACCCCCAACTGCCCTCCCCTGCAGGCCTGGTCACCCCTAACTGCCTTCCCCTGCTGGCCATCTTGTGACACTGTGGGGGTGGCCATCTTGTGATGACATGGGGTGACCATCTTGTCGCGCAAGGGCGTGAGGGTCAATTTGCATATTACCTCTTTTTTATATAGGACTAGAGGCCCAAAACAAAAAAAATCAACCACTGCCGGCGGGGGGGGGGGGGGGGGGGAGTCCCTCAGCCCGGCGGGCCCCCTCTCACAGTCCGGGAGCCCTCAGGGTAGGGAGGTGACCCAGCGATCAGGGGAAGGCGACGTCCCCATCACACCTCTGCTTCTGCCACTGCTGGCAGCACAAGCCTCGGCCGGCCCTGGTTACCTGAGTCTCGGGCTGGCCCTGGGCGGCTGGGGGGCTGGGGGACTGGGGAACTCTGGAGGCAGGCGCGCGGAGTGGCTAGGCCTGCCTGGGAGTGGGCCCAGCCTTGCCGTGCGCCTGCCACCCTGGCAGGGCTGAGGGGACTGGGGGCAGCCATCTTTGAGGGCGTGGTAGTCAATTAGCATATTCCCTCCTTATTGGCTGTGGGTACTGCCATCTTTGAGGGTGTGGCAGTCAATTAGCATATTCCCTCCTTATCGGCTGTGGTTGCTGCCATCTTTGCAGTCTGCTGCTCAGTCGTTTGGTCGTCCGTCACTAACCCCTCTGCCAGCCTGGTTGCCCCATGCAGCCTGTTCGGTCGTCCATTCGGTTGCGGTGGTCCCTTAGGCTTTTATATATAGAGATGGTATTAACTCTGCAGGGGAAATTAATATCCTGGGGGTCCTCAAAGAAAAGGTGTCTCCTAATCATCATTCCCTAGCCTCTTTAAAACAGCAGTCACCAACCGGTGGTCCGTGGCACTGGTGGTCCGTGAGGTCCAAAAGGTTGCCGACCGCTGGTTTAAGGAAACCTTTGGAGCAGCGGTCGCCAACCGGTGGTCCGCAAGGTCCGAATGGTTGGTGACCACTGTCTTAAAACATCCATCCTGCCCTCTTTTCCCCCAAGCAAGCTGTGGATTACCTAATCAACTAATAGTAACTTTCATTTCTGAAACACTTTTATATCCACAGAAGCAGACTGAACTCTAAAATGGGGTTTAAAAAAAAGAAAAACTTTAAGCTTCCTCATCCTCCTCACTCTCTCCATGAGAGCATAACCTATAGCCTTTATTTAAAATTTGGAACTTCTCTTTTGAAATAAATTTCCACCTAAAGATTTTTTCAACCTCTGAACTATATATATATATATATATATAATTTCAGAACTTGCTCCAGACTTTTCCCCATCACTTTACCTTTCACAGGCGGTATTAAGCCCTGCATAACTGTACTCTCTCCACCACACCGAGTGCCCAGAGCCCCACTTGAACCTCCAAGCTAACCCTTCCCATCCATCAAGACTACTCAGTCATCTCCCTCTTCAAGAGCTCTGCCTGACTGGAAAACCCCAAGCCAGGTTAGAAGTCTATCTCTGACTTCACTATATGGAAAATAGTACTCAAATGTCAACTCTGAGCCATTAAAAGTCGCTAATATTTTATTTTTACACATGCTAAACTAACAGTACAAAGCCTTCTGTTGACACTACTTTACAATCTAGTTACTATACCAATTTTCTGATCCTCTTGACAGCAAATTTTTTAAAGATTTCTGGTCACAGATTCTTTTCCCAAAACCTCATGCCAATCAGGCTCCCTCCCCACATTCCCAAAACTGTCCATCAAGGTCACCAACAGCGCCCCCATGTTGCTTAAGCAATGTTCCTCACATGAGACATCTTCCTGATCTATCACAGAATTTGGTACTACTGACCACTCCTTCCTCCTTGAAACACTCTATAAATCTGGCTTACAATCCTTCAACTATCTGATCAAGGATTGTCTAATTCAAGATTTAGTTGTTGAGGGGACCAAATAGCCATGACAACACCATGCCAACGCATATTATCAGGCTAGCATTTACTAAATGCCACTTCATAATACACACTGAATAGATTAAAATGACTATTTGGAGAGAAGGAACCAAAAGGGAATCATCAATAATCCCAGCAGAACATACTACATAGACAAAAATCAGAGTTGAGCAGGCCATATAAAAATGACCTCCTCCCACAAGAGTATAAAAACCAGAAAGGCTTTTTTGCCACTGAGAAATACACTCCTTGGAACAACAGTCTCTTAGGAGATTTTAATTGGCAGCTTTCATTAACACAATTTTCTCTCAAATGACAAAGGACTTGCTGTATTTTCAAGGACATAGTCAAGTACCCATCAGAAGAAAACTCTTCTCCATGTTACAGCATACTCGTTGATTGCACTCTGTGGTAGTTTACACTGAAAAGTTTAAAATAATAATAGCACAATCATTGCTGTTTTGAAACTTAGCAGTGTAACTGAACAAAAAAATGTAGCGCCACTTTTGAAAATACCAAAAACACTAATTCTACAATCAGTATACTTGTCATTGGGTTAAAAAACAAACATGACACAACACTCAATAAAAAATATTATGTTACTCACTTAGGATGTGTACACATATAATAACCAAAGATTTGAACACTAACAATAATTTTACATTATGATGAGCAAAAAATCTATCACACAGGAGCAACAAACAAGAAAAGAAGTTCATCCCTCAAGCAGGTAGAGAGAAGTCTACCAAGAAGTAAATGTCCGAGTCAGTCAAGGTTCCCCAAAGATGGGTCATAGCCCATAGAGGGTATCTGGAGACAAAATCACTGAGTACACTGTTCCTCACCCAGATAGAGAACCAGGGTTGAGAAAGGGTAGAAGGAAGATTTCTAAGAACTGCTGAAAAGGAAAGCATGGGTGATTTGATTAGCTGCAAGTTGTAAGGATAATGATGTCTAGTTTATTGCAG